GTTTACACGTGTGTACAGAACAAATATTTAACTGGTTCAGTTAGATCATCTTTTCTGTCAAAATTAAATAACTAAAAATTATTGCTACTCTGAGTAATCAAATTCAAATAAACTGATGTCTTTCAACAAAGATTAAGCTAAAAGCAAATACTTACAGTTTTCATTTCAAATCATTGCTTCTATCTTTCCTTAACTTTTTGTACTCATATAAAATCAGCAGAAAAAAAAAGACATAAATGTAATTATTTTAAACAACTTTTTAAGACTATTTTTTAAATGATTAATATTTAAATTTTCAAATTTGAATCATTTATTCAAACCTGAAAACTCAATTTCAAGTAATAAAGCGATGCGAAACCTGTTGTTACAAATTATGATTACTATATCAGTTGATAAAATCATATAAGAATGTAGCTAATAAGAGTAAATGTCAGGATGATATTTACGTCCCTTGTCGAGAACTTGCTTTGAAATTTAGACGAGGGGATATTTTACATGTGATAAATATGACAGATGAAAATTGGTGGCAAGCTTACCGAGAAGGAGGTGATCCCTGTAGTTCACTTGCTGGATTAATCCCTTCCATTTCATTTCAACGACAGTAAGTTAATTTTTAATTATGTTATTGTCTACAATAATAATTATCTTGTATGATATTTAATCCAAGTAATCATAATTTCTATTTTGCTAAATTGAATTCATAATTTTAATTGTTAGTAAAGGATTACAATCTCTTAGTTCGAAACACATGCATACAAAATTAAAGAGTTATTGTAAGAAAACAAACTTTGAATCAAAATATAAAAAATGATTTACTCCCAATTTATTTCTTCAAATTTTAATTTGCATAGAATTGCTTTGTATGTGCGAGAAATGGATCAAGAAAATCAAGCAGATAATAAGAGGGATTTCTTTGGTTGTGCAAGGAAAAAACCTTCAATAAAGAAAAAACAGAAAAAAAAATTGAAGGGATTAAAGTCAGTAGATGAAGAGACTACTGAAGATAATGATACAGGTGCGGTTCTGATCTGCATGTTCATTATCAGCAATAAGATTAGATTTATGGCAATTTTGATCTACTTTTGTTTTACTTAACAGAAACACAAATGAGTCTTGATAATTGATAATTTTGATAATTTTTGTATTCTTGATATATATAATTATTGTACTTGTAATAAACTGTGGTAAAAAACACTATATGGAACAGCTTTTTTTTTTTCAGATATTTTGACTTATGAAGAGGTTACGTTGTATTTATCAGAAACTGGGCGCAAACGTCCATTGGTTCTTTGTGGTCCAGAAGGTGTAGGTTGCTTGGAACTAAGACAAAGATTAGCTGAATCTAATACCGATAAATTTGCCAGTGCTATACCCCGTTGGTTTCTTTATTCGTATAAATATTGATAACGTAAAAAAAAATATACCAAGAAATATCCTTCATATCATTGCAGTATTTTGTTGAACAAGAACA